ACACACACTGCCTTGGGGGCAGGTGCTCAGTGGACACTGACAAGGGGGCAGCTGGGCCCCAGCCTCCTCTTCAGAGGCTTTTCTTTAAACAGCCACTCTATCAACTGTTAGCCCACACATCAGCCCCACCCACCCTGACCCTCTTGCAGCCAGACCCAGGCACAGAGGCCAAAAACAACTGTAGTCAGCTTTAGTCTTCCTCCTAAATGTGATCTCCCTGGCAAGGAGAGGCCTCAAGTCCTGAACTTCCCTGGGACACTTGGAGACACCCACCACCCAGATTCTTCAAGGTCTCTTGGGCCTGATTGTATCAAGCACTACTCTGTCTGGGTCACAGAAATGCTTCTAGCTGCTTCTAGTGCCTGGGGTTTGGGATTGCTCTTGTTCAGTGCTCTGGACAGCCTTGGAAAGGACAGGGGCTGAGACTGGGAGCTCCTAACCTCACTTTCCTGCTGTGTCCAACCACAGCCCGGGAGCAGCTGCGTAGGTCTCGCCACAGCCGAACATTCCTGGTGGAGTCTGGTGTAGGAGAACTGTGGGCAGAGATGCAGGAAGGTGAGGCAGCGGGGTGTAAAGGAACACCTCAGGCCATGCAGAGACCCTGCGGGAGTGGGGCAAGGGTACATTCCTGAAGCTTCCCTCTTCCCTCAGTCAGCTGGACCCCATCCTACTCACAGCCGCACCCCTAACTCATTCCTTCAGGACATTCTGTCCCGTGCTCAGGCCTCGAGTCATCCCCCTTGCATACTCTGCATCCTTATTTGGTAGCGTGAGATGAAGCCCCTCAGCTCATTCCCCCGCCACACTGTCCCCCAAAGCTGAGCTTGGAGCCTGGAGCAGGGCTGGAGGCTAGGGTGGAGGCAGTGTAAGACTGAAGGTGAGAGACAGGCTCTTAAACTTTTGACATATTTACTTTACATCCCTACTGAAGCTCCCCCTCTCTCCTCTCCTCCCAGTGCCCCCACCTCCACTCCCCCTCATCCATTCTTCCTCTTTCTCTTCAGAAAAGGGGAGGCCTCCCATGGATATCAAGCAGCCTTGGCATATCCAGTTGCAGTAAGACTAGGTGCATCTTCTCCTATTGAGGCTAGACAGGCATCTCAGTAGGGGGAAAGGGTGCTAAGGCAGGCAACTGCTCCCCCGTTAGAGTCCCTCATGAAGACCAAGCTATATACAACTGGTACTTACGTGTAGAGGGCCTAGTCCCATGCATGCACCCTGGATGGTGGTTCAGTCTCTGTGAGCCCCTACGGGCCCAGGTTAGTTGATTCTGTAGGTCAGGCCCTTAATGTTTACCTGTATTGACCGGTGCAGGAGACCGCTACATGGTGGCAGACTGTGGGGGTGGCACTGTGGACCTGACAGTACATCAGCTGGAGCAGCCTCATGGAACCCTCAAGGAGCTCTACAAGGCTTCTGGCAAGTAGACCAGCGAGTACCCTTGCCGCCCAGCTCGCACAGGTCCCCTGGTGGCCTATCTGGTAATGACACCCTCTTCTCCTACTTCGCTGCAGGAGGCCCTTATGGCGCAGTGGGCGTGGACTTGGCCTTTGAGCAGCTGCTCTGCCGCATATTTGGGGAGGACTTCATCGCCAAATTCAAAAGGCAACGGCCAGCAGCTTGGGTGGATCTAACCATTGCCTTTGAGGCCCGCAAACGCACAGCAGGCCCGCACCGGGCGGGGGCGCTCAACATTTCGCTTCCCTTCTCTTTCATTGACTTCTACCGCAAGCAACGAGGCCACAATGTGGAGACCGCCCTGCGCAGGAGCAGGTGGGCCCAGGGTCAAGAAGGGTCTGGCAGCGTTTGCTAATATGGCCTGCTCTTAAAAGGGAGAGTCGTGGGCCCCAGGGCCCAGAGTGCAACCTGGTTAATTCCACATATATACACCATGCCAGCTAGCCAGCCAGCGACAGGTGGAGGGGTGTGAATACTGGGTGGTGGGGCAGGTGCTGTCATAAGGGATGAGGCTGCAAATTTTATCTTCTCCATATCCCAGTCCCGTTACTCAATGTTCTTGGCTCCTCTATTCTGAAGTAAGGGTAAGTTGTTCTGCCGTCTCACGCATGAGTCGCATGAGGCAAGCAGACAGCAGAGTGGGATTGAGGATAAGGTCAAGTGTCCACCCTTTCTACACCATGTGATTATATCTGCATTTCCTGCTGGGCATTCCCAACAGACTGTCCAGGGAGGTATGGGTAGGGAACAAGAACCCCTGACTAGAAGCGGCAGCAAACAGCTGGGCAAATCTGTGTCTCCTCACCACCCACAGTGTGAACTTCGTGAAGTGGTCCTCACAGGGGATGCTCCGGATGTCCTGTGAGGCTATGAATGAGCTGTTTCAGCCCACAGTCAGTGGGATCATCCAACACATAGGTGAGTGCATGAAGCCCCATTCATCACCAACTTTAGGTTCGGGGAAAAAACTCATCTATGCCTGGAAACCGCCATCATCCTTATCCTAGGATGAAACCCAGAAATGTCGATAGTATCTGGAGCAAACAGTATATGGTGACTAGTCCTGCCATGTGGACCGGTGCCTCCATTTTCCCGTTTTGTAAATGCGAGTAAATGAGCTGATAGTGTGTAGAGTGGACACTGCCCTGGTCAGCGTGAATACATTCCTGATTCTTCACCCTTCACAGGATGAAGACGTAACAAAGAAGTAGGGTGCTGAGGGCTGTCAGGACCACTGAGGAGTGTCAGAAACGTTCAGTGAGAGAACTTTCTATTTAACACCTAGTTTTTAGATGCTTTAGGAATACCAGTGGGGCCAGGCATGGTGGCACACATCTTTGATACCAGCTCTCAGGAGGCAGAAGCAGGTGGGTTGCTGTGAGTTTGAGGCCAACCAGGTCTACAAAGAGAGTTCCAAGACAGCCAGGGCTCTGTTTTTCAAGACACCCTGCCTTGAAAAACCAAACCAGCCGGGCGGTGGTGGCGCACGCCTTTAATCCCAGCACTTGGGAGGCAGAGGCAGGCAGATTTCTGAGTTCGAGGCCAGCCTGGTCTACAGAGTGAGTTCCAGGACAGCCAGGGCTACACAGAGAAACCCTGTCTCAAAAAAAAAAAAAAAAAAAACAAAAAAAAAAACAAAAAAAAAACCAAAAAACAAAAAACAAAAAAACACACCAAACCAAAGAGTACTAGCTGGGTCAGCAGAAGCACCACTTAAGGTGAAATGGTGGGCCTTAGTGACTGTCTCCTTCCCTCTCTTACTGAACCCCTGCCCCTGTCCTGCAGAGATGCTGCTGGCTAAGCCTGAGGTGCAGGGTGTGAAGTTGCTATTCCTGGTGGGCGGCTTTGCTGAGTCAGCCGTGCTGCAGCATGCGGTTCAGGAAGCGCTGGGAACTCGTGGCCTGCGCGTTGTGGTCCCTCACGATGTGGGCCTCACCATCCTCAAAGGAGCAGTGCTCTTCGGCCAGGCACCCGGTGTGGTGCGAGTGCGCCGCTCCCCACTCACTTATGGTGTGGGCGTGCTCAATCGTTTTGTGCCTGGCCACCACCCACCGGAGAAGTTGCTGGTTCGGGATGGGCGCCGCTGGTGCACCGATGTCTTTGAGCGCTTCGTAGCAGCAGAGCAGTCCGTGGCCCTAGGAGAGGAGGTGAGGCGCAGCTACTGTCCTGCGCGCCCGGGCCAGCGGCGTGTGCTCATCAATCTGTACTGCTGTGCTGCGGAGGACGCACGCTTCATCACTGACCCTGGTGTGCGCAAGTGTGGTGCACTCAGCCTGGAGCTTGAGCCTGAAGGCTGCCCGGAAAACACAGGCACATCCCCTAACCGCCGCGAGATCCGTGCTGCCATGCAGTTTGGCGATACTGAGATTAAGGTCACCGCCGTGGATGTCAGCACCAATCGCTCTGTGCGGGCATCCATCGATTTTCTTTCCAACTGAGGGTGCACCCTTTGGTGGGGACACAAGAACATGCTAGTTTTCACAGCAGTGCCCCTTTCTCGTGGTAAGGACACATGGAGACTCACTTTAGGGTTGTGCCTTGATCTGCTGACTGGAACACTAGAAGTCCCCTTGCCCTAAGAGGCAAGGTGGTATAAGAGACTTCTAAGAAGTTTGCTTAGAGGGTGAGCCTGGCTTGGCGAGTGTGTGACCACTAAGATAGACTGAGAACTACACATGGCCTGAACTTGAGGTTAGGGGGAGCTGCTGAGGAGCCACAGGAGGTGCAGAACCGGGACTGAAGGTTAGAGTTCACTGTTGAGTTCAAGTCACAGGAAGCCCGAGAGAACAAGCTCATGCGGGGGGGGGGGGGGGGGGGCGTGTTAGGCCCGTGCTGGAGGGGTAGGTGAGACAGCACCTTCCTGGATGTGTGACTGTTAATTGTCGCAGTGGCTGACAGGTGAGGAGGCTGCATTGCCACAGTGAAAGCAGTTTGGAGGAGATGTGCACACAGCACTCTCCAAGGACCTACAGGAAAGCTATAAATGACCCATTTGCCCCCAACCCAGCCACAGGAGCACAGAGGTCACTATGGCAAGGGGTAGGGGGGTGTTCCAGCTCTCCCACATATCAGTATAGTATACCATTAGGAAATCTGATCAATCAGTTTCTCCAGGTGTGAAATGTCAGACATTTCCTGCCAACCACGGCATAGAACAGCTTTCCCTGCCTGAGAACTTACCCTAAGGTGAAAATAAAGTATGCCAAGTCAAGAAAAGATCAGCTTTCTAGAACCACCAGAGTAGGGACCCCCATAAGTGGGAGTAGTGTATGAATACTAGAAGACAGTTGTCAGCTGCACAGATCCAAGGGACGTGGCAAGGAGCTGTTGCTCTCCCTGTCCAGCATCCCTGAGTTCCTGAAGACTATTTTATGTCCTAGACACCTCAAGCACTCAAGCACTTTGTCCCAGACCTAAAAGGCATCCATGTCTTCATGGTGCAGGTGCCACAGTACGGTGCAGCACCTTCCACCTGATCCTGTTGGCCCATCTATCAAGGGTGGTCTTCCAACCGCAGAGAACAAAAAGCCCCCGCTGACCTCTGAAGTCTACTGGAGTTTTTATTTATTGAGGTCTCTATTCCAACCAGTCATTTAAAAACCAAATACCACAGACCTGAGGGGTAGGAGCTAGGAACTGTACCTCCTCACCACACGAACGGCAGTGGGGAAGGAAGATGAGGGCAGCAGAGGTGGAGAAGGGGAGACGACAATAGCAGCAGCAATGGGGCATCAACGTCACACAGACAGCCACTCGGTCCTCTCCCAACCCCTAGCTAGAACCCCTATGGCTTGGGGTGGAAGAGGTAAATCCCACCCCAGGTCCCTCCTCTCAGATAGCCTCCTCGGGGCTCAACCCATTTCTTCGGTCAGGAGACTCAGGCACATGGGAGAGGAGGAAGTGGGGAGGACTGTGGAGAGGCAGGGTGGTGGTAGGGATGAAGGCAGAGGTGGGAGGCAAGAGCAAGGTCTAGCCCTGCCATGCCCACCAGGGGAGAGGTGAGGAAGCCACACCATCACGCAGCATGTCGGGGAGCAAGTGGAGTTTTAAGGCTCAGGGGCTCAGGCAGGCAGGCAGGCAGGCAGGCACGGCCCCAGGCCTCAGTCGAAGCCGTGCCAGTCACTCTGTTCCGAGTCATACTCCAGCTCGGCGCCCACACACTTGACACCATCCAGCAGCATGGGTGTACCGTGGTGCCGGTCTGCAAGGTAGGCACAAGTTAGAATATGCTGGCTGTGTGCTGGCACCACACAAGGTTTATCCCACAGAGACCTCTCCCTGGCATTAGCTGAGGTTTTGGGGAAAGACCCTGCCAACTTCAAGAATCTCTTGAAGCCAGTCTCATGTCTCCCTCCTCCAACCAGACCTGCCCTAACGCTAACTCACCCATGACCCGTGCCTGCACCGTCACACGCACACAGGTGCCCATGTCACCCTCACAGGCCAGGAGCATCTCCTCTTTGAGGACGCCTTCTTTGTGTGCCGAGTACTCACACTTGATGCTGTATCCTGCTGGAGGACAGAGATGGACAGGCAATCATATTGTCTATATTGTCCCCAGCACTCAGTCCCTACCCAGTAACTCTTGCTGAGTCTCTTCCAGAAAGAAGCCCAGATGGCCCCTTCAGAGGGCCACCCCATAGAACTGGTACAGGACTTAAGAAACTTCCATCCTTTCAAATAAGGCCATTGTGCCTCTGGCCTGAGAACTCAGCGTGTCTCTAAAGGTGGAAGATAGGGTCCCATTCATCCTTCTAAGGTCCCACTGGTGCCACAAAAAACGGCAGAAAGAAGGTGATGGAGATCAAGGAGAGGCTGTCATGGTGGGCTTTGAACAGACGGGGTGGCAAGAGGAAGGGACTTCCACCGAAGGGCAGGTGGTTAGGAAGCAGTAGTGGGGATGTGGAACTGAAGCCAGTACTCAGCATCGTACCCCTGAAACTGGCACCCTAGTCTCTGTCAGGCTGGTGATCAAGAGTAGGACAGCACCAGAAGCCAGCTGGAGAAGCAGCCTAGAACCCAATGCCTGAATGGAACTAGTGGGTTCTAGACAAAGTTCCTACAGCTCTGCCTTTTTATCCAGGAAGATGAGAGGGAGGCTGGAGGTCCAAAGGCAGGTCCTCTGTGGCTCCCATCCCTGGGACCTCTCCACTGAAGGTATCATCAGACAGTGAACAGGCATGCAAATCTGCAGCGTATGTTAATGGAATGGACTTCTCTATCCAAAAATGGAGGCCTGGGGCTGAAACTGCTCCCATACTGGAAGCTCAAGGAGGTGCCATGCTCCTGCCTTCTCCTGAGCTGCCTGGTCACCCTAGCAAGGGAAAGGGCAAAGAAACTCACAGCAGGCTCTCATAGATAATTAGGGTGGGCCTCTAGCAGCCCAGAAGGGGACCTACCCTCAGGGATGGGTGTGACGCTGAGGAGCTTGAGGTGCAAGCTGTGGACAGGGGCCTCATGGATGTCCTTGCTCAGTCTGCGCACCGGAGGCAGAGTGAAGGTAATCTCATACCTGTGCAGGATCTTCAGGAAGCCAACCTACAGCAACAAGGGAGAAAGGGAGGCATCCTCACTGTGGCTTCTCCTAGGGCATCAGGGTGTGCTGCCGGGGCTCCTGGTGAACCCCAGCATCTGCTTCCCTGGAGCCCAACTCGTGTTATGCTCCAGCTGTTCCAGGCCTTTTAACAATTCCTTCCCCTTAAGGCTCATGGCACAAGCAACTTCTGTTGTCCAGATATACTGCCTGGCAACCAATGCTGTCCCTGTAGGACAGGGGCCTTGGGAACTTTTTGGTATGAAGAGTCATGCCCTGCGTCTGTCTCAGAGACCACACAGGCCTCAGTTTTACAAATAAAAAATGGAAGTCAGAGAAGTGACTGCCTAGAGGTCACATTGTGAATGAAAGAAAAGTCCTTCCTAGACCTCCTGGTCACTCCTGCCTTGTGTGGTACTCAGTAAGAAACCAGCCACAGCCAGGGAGGGGAAGCATCACTACAGCACCTATCCAGATCAAGCAGCCCAGGAAGGAACGTCGGTAACTTCATTACTTGATAGCATGGGATAGGAGAGAAAACAGAACTGGAGAACCAGACACTAGGGTTTGGGGAATGGCTCAATGGTAGACTATATATTCAATATGTGTGAATCACTGATTTTGATCCCAAGAACCAACCAAACAAACCAACAAACAACATCAACAAAACCCCACTAAACCAGCTGTGGGAGCCCACAGCAAGTCAAAAGCCGAATTATTAACCACAAAACCTGTGATCCTGTCTGTCGACACATGGTGATGCACGTGTGCCTACCTGCACACTCAGCAGTGCCAGGTGATCAGTGACCTCTGCTCATGGTCCAAACAATTTCTGTTGCCCAGATACACTGCCTGGCAATGCTGTCCCTCTGGGAAAGGGGCCTTGGAAACTTTTTGGTGTAAAGGGTCATAAACTGAAATGCCTCTGAGAAGAGTGGCCTTCTGAAAGCTTTCTGAGCCAGGCAGGGTAGCTCTCATCTACTCCAGCCCTGAGACCAAGGCAGTAGGGCTGCTGCAGGTATAAGAGCAGTGTGAGCTACCCAGTGAGTCTAAGGCCAGCCCTGCTACACTCTCAAAACAAAGAGCTGGGGATATAGCTCAGTTGGTAGAGTGCCTGTCTAGCATGCGTGGCCCTGGATTTGATCCCCATCACCAAATCAAATCAGGCCTGGTAGGGCATACCTGTAATCACAGCACTCTGGAGGCAGGGGCAGAAGGATCAGAAGTCCAAGGTCATCCTTGGCTACACAGCCAGTTCAAGGACAGCTTGGAGTACATGAAACCCTGTCTCAAAAAAAAACAAAAAAAAACCAAAAACATATTTTTTTTTAAAATTTGGATTTCTTTTCCATTTATTGGTAAGAGGGTAGGCTTAACATATGCTATAGTGCCGGGGAAGTCAGAAGATAATTTGCCAGTGCTGGCTCTATCCTTCCACCAAGTAGGTTCTGGGACCAAACTTAGGTAGCTAGGCTGGTCAAGTTCCTTTACTAGCTAAGCCATGTCAATTCTCAGGTCTAATGAGCTGACACAGTGGGTGAAACGGTACTTGCCACTGACCTGACAACCTGAATCTGGTCCCCAGAACCTACATAGTAGAAGGGGGGAACTGACTCTTGCAAGTTGTCCTCAACTTCTGTATGTGTGCTATGGCACACCTCCCCCAAAATAAATAAGTGTAAAAAGGCTGGGCAGTGGTGGCACATGCCTTTAATCCCAGGACTGTGGAGGCAGAGGCAGGTGGATCTCTCTAAGTCCAGCCTGATCTATAGAGGGAGTTCCAGGATGGCCAGAGATACATAGAGAAATTCTATCTCAACAGATTAGATAGATAGGTAGATAGATAGGTAGATGATAGATAGATAGATAGATAGATAGATAGATAGAGATAGATAGAAGGGAGGGAAGGAGGAAGGGAGGGAGGGAAAAGGAAGGAAGGAAGGAAGGAAGGAAGGAAGGAAGGAAGGAAGGAAGGAAGGAAAAAAAAGCTTTTTAAAAAAAAGGCTTTCGGGCCAGGCAGTGGTGGCGCATGCCTTTAATCCCAGCACTTGGGAAGCAGAGGCAGGCAGATTTCTGAGTTCGAGGCCAGCCTGGTCTACAGAGTGAGTTCCAGGACAGCCAGGACTACACAGACAAACCTTGTCTCGAAAAAAAAAAAAAAAAGGCTTTCTAAGGGCTGGTAAGATGACTCAGTGGATAAAGGAACTTGCCACACACACACACACACACACACACACACACACAAAGGCTTTGGACATGAGGTCAATCTGATGTGAAGTCCTGATTCCACAAAGTTGTTCCCTGGCCTCCACATGCACACTATGGCACATGCAGTGTTGTGCACACACAGAGTAATAATTTTAAAAGAAATTTCAAAGACCTTCTGGCTGTCCTTGCAATACTGTGGCACTTGCCAGGGAAATACTCAGAGATGTGGAGGACAATGCTTATCATCACCCTAATTTATAAAAGGAATGGAAACAACCAGAACACACAAGCAGCCATGACATATGCCAAATACCAGATGGGGGTGAAATCTCATTGAAAATTATTTTCTGGCAGACAGGGAACAGCTTGCAAACAAAAGCATGCAAAAAAACATGTCAGCTGGGTGTGGTGGCACACACCTTTTACCCCAGCACTCAGGACACAGGGGAAGGTAGATCTCTCTGAGGTTCTAAGCCAACCTGGTCTATAAAGCAAGTTCCAGACCAGTCAGAGCTACACAGAAAAAAACCTCTCCAAAAAACACAAACAAACAAACCCTACTACCAACAATACTAGCTTTTGGAAACAAAGTTTTGAAAAAAAAAATACACCAACATAGTCACCATGGTCACTTCTGGGCCATGTGACTGCCTTTAATTTTCCTGTCAAATGTTTTAGTGCCTTGATTTTGTTTATTCCCCTGGTAGCCATCAGCTGCAGGAGAGAGAATGAAGACTTTAGAGATGAACAGAAAAGAATACAAACCTGAGGCCCTTGTGAGAAGGGCAGCAGGCCCTCACCCCAGGGCACTTCTGCTCAACTCTGGGACCCTTTCACTGACCAATCTGAAGGTCTCAACTCCTATATCTCCTAACATATCCCTCCAAAAATTCCTTCCTGTCCCTTCTAAGTGGGTATGGAACCTAACAGCATCCAAGCAGTTGAAGGAGCCATGCTGCTGGGTGTGTGAAGTATAATGGCATGAATAGCTGGCTGGTGAGATGGCTCAGCAAGTAGAGACTTTACAGCCAAGCCTGATGATCCCTGGAACCCACAAAGTGGAAGAGAGACCCGACTCATGCAAGCTGTCCTCTGACCTCCGTATGTGACTGTGGGATGCATGCTCCAACAAAACAAATAAACATAGCAAGTATATGGAGTCAAAAGGAGGGAGGAGATAAATGGGGGACAAACTGCCCAAGGCCACAACACTAGGAGAGCGTGCCTAGGCCTGATCCAGGCCCATGATACCACAGCCTCCAACCATCCTTCTATGGCCCTTGTCTATGGCATTTGTTTAAATCACTTACCTAGTTCCTTACCTCCCATTTCACAGATGAAGAAACAAAGGCTCAGGGAGAGGCAAGTTTGTGCCTGTGACCTCAGCTGGGGAAGGGTTGGATGGGTAGGACAGCTTCTAGAAGCCAGGAAGGAGGAAGGAGGAGTGAGGCTGGTGGTAGGGGGGAGCTCACTTACCTTGACTAGGAAGCTGTTGTCGCTCTCCTGAGTAACCATGACCACCGAGTCATGTAGCTTTTCATCAAAGTGGACGTGGCTCTGGGAGCCTTCTGCATCATGGCCTGCTGCAAAGCGGATACTTCGGACTCTGGGCTTACTGCCTAGGAAGAGGAGGAGAAGGCTCCAGAGGCTGCCGGATTGCCTCACCACCAGGAAACCACATCTCCTTGTTTCCTCCCCATGCTCACCCAGCATACACTGTCAGTCACAGTAGATGCTGTTAACTTGAGGCTTGTGCACCCCACCTACACACAGACACCTGCCTGTGTAGTGTTCCCACAAATGTGCCCTTCCCAGCATACATGTGAGAAAGACTCAGGGAGTAGCTGATAGGACCCCTCACTTGAAAGGAAAGAGGCTGGCCCCTTCTCTACCATCATTCAGTGTAAAGCAGGACTGTCCACAGTACCAAGCTCTCCATCCCTGCCATCTATTTGTTTTTAAGATTATTTATTTATTTATTTATTTATTTATTTATGTTTGTGTTGTCTGTCTGTCTGTCTGTCTGAGTTTATGTGAACAATGTGTCAAGCAAAAAAGCATTGGATCTGCTAGGCATGACACACACTTTTAATCCTAGCTTGGGAGGCAGAGGCAGGTGAATCTCTGTGAGTTCAAGGGCAGATGGTACCATATAGTAAAACCCTGTCTGGGGGCACGGAGAAGACAGCAACAACAAAGGCAACAAACTTGAAGGAACTGGATTTGCAGGTGGCTCTGGGCTGCCTGCTGTGAGTGCTGGAAACTTAACCCAGGTCCTCTACAAGAGGACTGCTGAACCATCTCTCATCCCAAATAACACCTTCCCTTCTGGTTTGTTAGTGCAAGAGACAGGCCCAGCCTGTGACGCCTGATAACTCCAAACAACCTGGGGCACAGTGATAAGAATGGACTCTAGTGAATCTACTTACAATGGAACCTGTTAAAAACCACAATTTGAGAAAGAAAACAACAACAACAACAGAAAACACTTGGCCTCCTAGAAGAGGCTTCAGCTGCCAGTCAAGACCAGTGGTCACTAGCACTGAAGAGGCTGAGCAGCATTCTAGTCTACCCCACACTGTTTCCTCCTCTACTAGTGTAGATGAGGGTCTGTGAGGGTCTTAGCTATCACTGTGATGTTTTGGAAGTTCTAAGGCCAGGAAGGGCAGGGATTAAAACACACTACATGGCTGGGAGATAGCCAAGAGCCCATGGGAAACATTCAGCCTATGGGAAACCAAGGGTATGACCCCAGCCCTCTGTGACCCTCCAGCAAGGCCTTAGGCCTCCCAAGAGTCTGATCCAGAGTCATTTTGGTGGGAGGGCCTGGACTGGCACTGGTCTAGGTTCTTGGATACTCAGCAGACGCCCTGCTAAACATGCATAGCTACAGTTCCTGGTAAGCCCCTTTCAACCTGATTCTCAAATCTTACCCAGTTTCCTTTAGCTAAAGTCTTCCAGATTCATGTCCAGGTGTCTGATGTTCAACCAGCCCAGCCCTCATGTCCTTTAACACTGCAACCAGTGGAACAGAGGGGCTGACATATGTGGACACAAAAGCATACATTTCCATAAAATGGCAAACCAAAGAGCAAGCAGGGCTCCCTTCTGGGGCTTGGGTGATCCCAGACCCAGCACAAGCCTTGGCATATTCTGAACACTGAGGCATCACATTCAGGGCTGAAACAAGCCCAATTTGTAACAATCCACCAGGGGCCACTCTGAGAGCTCATGCAAACTTACAGTCTTACAGCACTCACCTCTGTTGGCTGCAGCCATGGACACCCTCCGTTCCACTGAGCAAGACACACAGCTCCTACTTGACACTGCCACTCAAGCTCAGCAGCCTGCCATGCTCCAGAGACAGTGATAGGAACCTGAAGGATAAAGATGGAGTCAAGACCACCCGTGGCTGGTGGGGATGGGGTGGAGCTCCCTTTGGAAAACCCTTATTGCTTTCAGAAGACACAGGGACACGTCTGACCCTTCTAGTGTAAACACACACACACACACACATACCCCTCAACCCAGCCCTGCCTGATACCCTACTGACCTAAGACTCATCCAGCTAGCTTCAGTTGCCAAAGTGCCAACACAGGACTCATATGTCCAGCTACCTAAGACTGGCAGGAAAGACAACTGAAAAAGAAAGGAGGCTTTCTTTACTGGCAATTTTTAGAGGCTATTTCTGGCATTGCTGACCCCAAAGAGCAGACCCAAGGACTATATTATTCAGGTCATATACCCAGTTCAAGTAGTTTCAGGTCAATCAACAGTATAGTTACAAGTGGGTAAGAATAAGAGACGACCTCATAAGAGTTCATACTCACATTCTGGCAGTCAGTCAGGGCCACATACAGAGTCCTATAGAGAAGGTGGTCCCCTGTCTAAACCTGCTGTTTAGATCCTAACCTGAGTCACAGAGGCCTCTGGCTCAGCAACCCAAGGGCTGCCTCAGTGCAAAAGTAACTGTAAGAAGCTGAGATTGATCAGCAAGTAAAAGACACTTGCTGCCAAGCATGATGACCTGAGTTTAATCTGAGGGACCCACATAGCAGAAGAGAAACAACTCCTGCACCTCTCCTCTGACCTTCATACATATGCTGGCTAGTGCATGTGCAGTGTACATACACTACATACATGTAACAAAATCAGAAAGAACAACCATGAGGCAATCTTAGGAAGCTTCTGATGGGTAGGGTAGAGTCCATTTAAGCATCAAAAAACTAGTGAGAGCACCCTGATGGAAGAGATGGGATAAACAAAACCAGTACATGTAGAGTACAGAAAAGGTGGGAAGCAAGCAAAACAACCCTAACCTCATGTACAACTGAGGACAGCAATGCCTCAACTGTCTGCCATGGAATCAGGCAATTAAAGGGGAGTAACTCAGCCTATATCTTGTATGTGAACTGCCATCTTTGTAGGCAACTTCCTGCTAATAATACCAAAGGATCAAATGCCAAGTCATTCGTGCTCCTAAAGAAACAAATGCCAGAGACAAGGACTCTCAGGATGCTTCTGACCCATGAGAGATGCCCAAGTGGCACTGACAGATGATCTGGTGACCCAAAGGGAGAATGACACAGACTGCCATGGGGAGAAATAATACCTCCCCTCACTCACTGTGGGACAACACAGACATGTTCCCTGAAGTGAGACAGCCTGCATGAAGTCACAGCATCTCTGACAGAGGATGACTGATGAAGATGCTTAGGCTAGACCTAACTGAGCCTCTACACCCAACTTAACCAAACACACAGGACTGTGGAACAAATTAAATAACTGTGCGCACGCAATGAGACCATCCAGAAGGCAGGCTATGCCGCAGGACAACTGACCTGTTTCTAAATGAAAGGGATGTGACAGAGTGCTCTAGATATGGAATTGGGCCACAGCCTGATTGTTTGTTTGCAAATAAAGGTTCATTGGGTCACAATTCCTTTTACTCATTTGTGTGTCATTTGTGACAGCTTTTGCACTGAAACAATATTACTTTGAATAGCTGTGACATAGCCTGCACAGTTCTATCAACCTGCTTTAGATAACACTCACATAAGGCATCAAGAAGGCAGATAAATCCCACAAGAAAGCATACCCTTTTACCTCATCTACTACAAGAAATGGTGGTAGGGGTTTTTAACTCTATTAAAACAAGACGTTTGGGGCTGGAGAGATGGCTCAGTGGTTAAGAGCACTGACTTCTCTTCCAGAGGTCCTGAGTTCAACTCCCAGCAACCACGTGGTGGCTCATAAGCATTTGTATTGGGATCTGATGCCCTCTTCTGGTGTGTCTGAAGAGAGCAATGGTGTACTCATATACAAAAAATAAATAAATCTTAAAAAAAAAAGACATTTGAAGGGCTGGATGGCTCAGCAGTTACATGTACTTCTCTTGCAGAGGACCAGAGTCTGAGTCCTAGAATCCATGTCAGACAGCTCACAACTGCCAATAAGTTACTCCAACACCAGAGGATCTGAAAACCTCTTCAGGCTTTAATCTTAGTACTTGGAAGGCCTGTGGACCTCTGAGTCTGAGACCAGCCTGGTCTACAGAGTGAGACACTATTAAGAAAAACAGAGAGACTTACATTTGGAAACCTGGAAATGGAACTCAACAGTGGCGTGCCTGCTTAGCATGTGGCAATCCCACAGCACTGTGTAAATTAATTTAACTCAAATATATTAAGAAAGGCTGGAACAATGGTTAAGAACACTTGTTGCTCTTAACAAAGAACCCAGGCTCAGCTCCCAGGGTTCACACAGCAGCTTAAAACCAGGGACTGAATGAAGCCCTTCTGACCTCCTCAGTTACCCAGAAAGTTTGAAGCCAGTCTGAAAACCGGATTTTATTCAGTGAGATAATGGAATTGTACTATATATGCATGTCCATGTTTTTCAGAGAAAGCCACTGAAGTGTTTAGAGATGAGTGACCCAGGAGTGAGCTTGCATAATTCAGAGACTGAAGAGAAGCTACAGGGTAGCATTTATAGTCAGTGGCTGGCCTGTCCAGGGCATGAACTCAGGGTCCCCTGAGTACAGACCAGTCCTGGGAACCCCTGGGACTTTCTTCCCTACTGCCTGTTGCCAGACAAGTCCTCCCAGACCCTACAGTGGTTAGGGTGTTCAGAGCTTGGGTCTCAGGATAGCCCTGCTAGAAAGAAGCCTGGAGAGATGCATGGAATTCCAAGACTCTAGACTCTGGGATGCAGAAGCAGCCAGAACTGGAACACGCACCATCAACACCCTCCCAGAAGCTTGTCCACAGGCCCTGGAATGAAGAGCAGCAAGCTCTCTGCCCTACTCCCATCTGGCGAGGGTTGCTTACGGTCAGCTTGCCTCCAGGGAACCTAGCCTTAGAAAACATTCTAGCCACTTCTGAAATAGGTTCCAGGCTGTGACAAGTGACCAGGGCGGCCGGTCTTTTTTCTTGCAGTATGTTCCAGACACACTGGTACAGCCATGGGACAGCCACAGGCCAGTGTCTGTAAGGTTTTTCCATATCTCCAGACACTTCTTAGAGATATGGATGACCAGTAGTGATCAAAGACTCCCCTGAGCCCTTTTACCAAAACAGGCTGACCTGGAGCAGTCCCAGTCAACCTTTCTCCAGGCCCTCAGCCAGAACTACACTTAAGCTAAGCCCATCTACACCTAAGTTCAGCTCAGCTCCAGCCCCAGCATCTTTTTAGGAAAGCAGTTCACACTCCATCCCAATCCCAGGGAAGGCCTAGCCATGTCCTCTCTCACTCTGTAATAATAACTTATTTTAATCTTTCCTGTCATTGAGGGCAGTGACTATAGCTTTGCCAAATGTCCCCAGCATCCAACAGAGCACTGGAGAGGAAGACAAATTCAGTTTACATTTGTTGATTGAATTAATGAATGACATCCTGAGGCAAGCCCAACTGGGCTAGATATGGTGTGCTCGGGGTCAGTGACTCTCAGGAACTTCTCACCCTCATCTCTTAGCCAATTCTTGTTCTGGAAGGCAATCTCCTCCCAACTGAGGTTTCCTTCCACTCTCTCTCTCTCTGGAGGGTTACGACAGTCAGTTGGTTCCTGCCCATGCCCACCCCAAGATGAACAAACTGCTGAAAGCAAGACCTCCATTTCCTTCAGAGGCCAGAATTTGAAGGAGAGCCATCATGCAGGAACTGCCTGTAACCCTAAGAATGGTAAGGAAAGTAACTTCAGGGACCCACAAGAACCTGGAAAAAGCAAACCTCCTTCCACAACAGACAACCTGCCAGCGGCTGCCCCACGGGAACTACACTCAGCCACACACATTCCTCATTAGAAGCAGAAAAAGAGGCCACTGGGCCTCTCCCGCTGTAGTCCTGTCCACAGGGAACTGCTAGGCCACCTCACAACGTTTAGCCTGGCCATGCCTCCAGCCTGCACCTGTGCTAGCCAAGTTCCCACTGTCACCTAAACCACACAGCACCCTCCTCACCCCGGGGGGTAGGGGGCCAGCAGCCAATCAAATTCAGACCATACCCTTGCTGGCAGTGAGGATGAGCCATTTCATTTCTCCAGGAGAGTGAGCAGTGGCCTGTTCTCCTCAGGACTTGGTACAGCTGTGCCTAGACCTCTGTGAAAATGCCGGCACCATTGACTCTACCTCAACCCTTAACCACTACAGACACAAAGCTCCAAGGGCTTGCTTCCCAGAGCAAAGACAATTTCACTGGAAGAAAGGCACCAGAAAAAAGCACTTCCGGTCACTCTTGGAGGAGCCCTCAGGGAGTTCAGCTTCTCAGAAACTAGCTAAGAGATTAAGGAGGCCTCTCCCCTGCCCTTCTTCCTTTCTTCCATTCCAGGGCAGTCAGGCTCCAGGAAGACTATGGAGGAGGCGCCTTTTCTACTTTAGGGCCCTCATCTGGAAAAAAGCAGATGATGCTCCTGTCCTTAGATGGCCGTCAACAAATCAGGAGTGAGGAGAGAAAACTGGGTATGGCAGCAGGCAGACTTGGTTAGGAGAGGCAGGAGGATCAGGAGTTCATCCTTGGCTACATAGCGACTGTAAGGACAGTCTGAGCTGAGACAATATCTCTAAATAATTAGAAAAAACCACACAAACACACATATATAAGTCAAGTGAGATCCTGGACTACTGCAGGATGGGGAACACCGAGGGCTTCTTGGGCTTTCAGATGCTCTTAGGGAAACTGGAGTAACAAAACCGTGGGCAGGGGAAAGCTCTGAGGCTAACTTTCCAAAGAGCCAGCATGTGGGTAAAAACTGGGTGGTTATTGAAAAACCCAGGGTCCTCAGTGCCATAAGGCCTTGCCCCTAACCAGTCCAGGCTACCCTGTTCTAGCACTCAAGGTCCAAGCTAAGTGCCAAAGATGGTCTATCCCTGGCAAAGTGAAACTCTTGAATTGTGACACTCTCCCTTCTGGTTATCTACCTCTTCCCAGAGGCAGCCTTTAAGCCCCAGTGTATCACAAAGCCAATTTCAGCGTGAGCTGTGCTGTGTGGCTGGGAGCACATCCCCAAACCTTTCAGCATCTCCTCTCAGTCATTCTTCAGCCCACCATTCCCAACCTAATAGAAGCCTTTTTCTATGTCAGAGTAGAAAACAACTTTCAATTCTTCCTACCACCTCCCCTACACCCATCCAGGGACCAAGTCACAGCTCAATTACTCAGCCCAGCAAAAGCACTTGTGCAACCTCCCCCTAAAACTCAAAGAACACCCACTGAAGTCTCAGATAGGGAGGGCCACATCGAGGTCACATGTGGAAGCCATCTTCCATCTACTCTGCCTTGACCTATCTTCAGAAGCCCCCCTTCCCCAAAGCCAATAAATGGTATGGGTGTTTACTCTCACAAACAGTAGAGGGAAAGGTTGACCTGTGAAAAGGGTGTTACCCCCTCCTGTCTACCAACATGTGTAGCTCTCCTCTGCCAAGCATCCGCTTCCCACATCCCCCTGACCTCAGCCAAAGGAAGGTGGCTTGGATTCTTCTGGCCTCTAGATCGACTCTTCCACCCAAGAAGCAGAGACACGGGTGACAGCTGCTCCAGATCTCCTTCCTACCTACCCCCCAACTCCACCCTACCCCACCCTACCCCACCCCACCCCACCCTGGCGCGCTCCTTCATGCAGAGCAATGCCCTATCTTCACATCCCACCACCCAGATTAAAGAAGAAAGACTCAAGCTGTCCAAAGGAGCCCTGTTCACTAACAGGAGCACTGGTCCAGAACCTAAATCAAACCATTTCTGCAAGACACTGGGAAGGCTCTGGCACTGGCCTTCTGGCCTTTCCTACCGCCATCGCTGTGGGTGTGGCACTCCCCACCCCACTATTATTGATTTCTCAGGGGACAAGAACAGTGGAACGGGCCTCAGACGTACCCACACCAAGACCAAGGCCGCGGCTCTGTCCATCTGAGATAATGCCCTGCGCTCTCTGAGCTCGCCAGGCTGACGCAGGAGTCTCCGGAGCCGACACTCCCAACATCAACATCCTCCCCATGATCGTGCCCGGGCACCGGAGACTCAGAGGCTACTCTTCCAAGGTCACATAGAAAGCCATGAGGACCAGGTGGGAACGGGACGTCAGCCACAATTTTGCCCCCACCCTCTGGTGTCACTGGTACCCTGCCGGCTAACCGTCACTTGTACCCAGGACCCCACATCCCCCACCCCATCCCGCTTCTACAGAGTTCCCCAGGCTAGAAAGCAGCGCGTCCAGCTCCAGCACAGCGGAGGATCTCAGACTCAGAAGCCGGCTCTGGTGCACTAGACGGAGCCGGGAGGGCCCATCTCACCTTGCAGGCGAGCCCCGCGGCCAGGCGGGCAGGAACGACCGCGGAGGCGGCGGCAGCAGCAGAGCGGGCTCGACAGCGCGAGGAAGAGCCCCGCGCCGCAGCAGCCTCGCGCCACGCCCTCTCCTCCTTCATTGGCGTGAGGGGAGTGGAGGGGCGGGGCTAGGGCACTTAGGACCAATGCGCTGTCTCTGAGATCCACCAATTAACGACGAAATTCCATATCACGTGCGCGCGGAGGCTGAGCCCCACGAGTCGACGTCAACGCAGCAACACGAGTTCTGGTGGTGAAGCGGGTTGGGAGCTAAGAGGGAACTGCTGCTGGAAGCCGACCAGAGCGACCTTCCCCACGAGGCTTCCGAGCCCGGGCAGTTTTGTCTAAGAGCTAAGCAGTCATCTTTCCTACTGGACTGATTCTGGGTTTCGGTCTTCCCTTCCCACCCATTCCCTATTCCAGATAAGCATGAGAACAAAGAAGGCACGCAGCGTGGGAAGGGGGGAGGGAGCGTACGCGGGCGCCCCCGAGGACAAGAGCTTCTGCTCTTGGTCTCCAAGGAGGCGGTCGCCATGGCAGCAAGATGCATCTCGACCCACCCGATACGGTGTGGGCGTCTACATAGAGCACTTGCTAAGGGTTTTGGATTTTTGCCACAGGCCCACCTGTCGGTGTGCGACTCTCTACCCTTGTATACACTGAGCAGGACAAGTGGCTTAAAGTGCCGAAGGAGCAGTCCAGAACACACAGGTTCCCTATCCTTCCAACTTAACTAGCAGAGACAGGCCTTGGACTGCTGAAAGCTTGCTTGTTTTTCAGATAGAATGTGGTCGCTGCCTTTAAGAGTCCTTAAGATCTCGACTCTTCTGTGTCCTTATGGCCTTAATCTGACTCAGATCTGTCCCCACACGCTGTTAACAAATTTGTCTTTTTGAGCTATTGTTTTCATACCGTTACTTCAGAGGGCCCACTGCTTCCCTGCTGTCTTCAAACTTTTATCAGTGTTTTGGATGGTACGTGCGCTCCCTACTGTTGAGAAAATTCTGTCCTCCAGCGCGGGCATTGAGAACTTTTCATTCTAATCCCAGCCTACTCAACCCCTACTCCCACCTTTCCATAAGCCCTGTCGTGTGTTCCATATCTGTTTTTTTCCCCAATTCAGTAGACTATGGGGTCCAAAGTATTCTGAAGACCACCGTGCCAGGCAAAAGTAGCCTGTAGATGTATAGCCTCCGGAGACTTTTATAAAAAATTTTCTGCCGGGCAGTGGTGGCGCACGCCTTTAATCCCAGCACTTGGGAGGCAGAGGCAGGTGGATTTCTGAGTTCGAGGCCAGCCTGGCCTACAGAGTGAGTTCCAGGACAGCCCTACACCGAGAAACACTGTCTCAAAAAACCCAAAAATAAAATAAAATAAAATAAAATAATAAAGAATTTTCTTCCCATCTTCTTGCCCCTCATCCTACTTCTTCACAAAGGATTCTCATTTCCAGCCTTCTTTTAAAATATTAGATCTAACAACACATACTCACGTTTACATTCCAAACAGGAACCACAGGCTTTGGGGTAGTAGCCTCTGTCTCTTTGGAACATCAATTTACCATAATCCCCTCTGGTCCCTATTTCTCATGTTCATTTTACTGCCTGGGTGTGTGTTGACTTTCAGGATTCCCTTTCTCTCTTGCTGCTTTTCACGTTAAACCCATCTCTTGGTGAGCTTTATTGAACACAGAGTAATTGCTAACAGTTTAACTGTCTGAGGCGATTTTCTAACTTTTAACTCCTTTTAATAAATTTTCTGAACATGTAAGATAGGTAAGTTACTGTGCTAGGCTGATCCCAGTGCAAGACACCCACAGCTCACTCTGAGACCACCACACAAAAAGAACTGTGGTTTCCTGATCTTGCCAACATGCCTCATGTTCCTAGACTCTGAGCATCTTGAGTACCTGGGAAGACCTGTGATATGGAGCTTCCTGTATTAGAGCATGACTCCAGGAAAGGCCACAATTGGTTCTGGAAAGCTTCTTGGAGAAAGTAAAGCTTTGAGCGCCAACAGAACACCAAGATAGAAGCTATATGGCTTTTTCTTTTCTTTTCTTTTCTTTTTTTTCTCAGTGGGCCTGTGCACCAAGATGGTATGGCAACATCAAAAGTGCCTAGGCCTATAAGAAGCTTCCTGTGCCCAAGGCCTTATTATCCAAAGCTAGAACACCAGGCTCTACAGAGTTGAGGCCAGTATATGAAAAGGAATGAGCAACTGAAGGTAAGGAAAACATACAGGAAAACACCTCCAGCTCCAGAGTTTCTGAATGTTATTAAATAAAAAAAACACACACAATAAATCTCCTTGGAAAACTAATAATATGTAGTGACGTGGATAGATGCTTGGAAGCTTGAGAGATGCTTAGTAGTTAAGAGCATTTGCTGCTCTTAAGACCAGGATTTGAGCCTGGTGGTGATGGTACACACCTTTAATCTCAGAACTCAGGAGGGAGAGACAGGTGAATTTCTATGAGTTAGAGGCCAGCCCAGTCTACAAGAACAGCCAGGACTATAACACAGAGAAACTCTGTTTCAGAAACTAACCAACAAACCAGGATTTAGTTCCCAACATCCAGTCACAACAGCCTGTAATTCTAATTCCAGGAGATCTGATGCCCTCTTCTGGTCTCCTTGGACTCTACACACACATGGTACACATACAGACAAGCCCATGCACATACACATAAATAAAAATGTTTTTGGTAGATGCTAAAAATATTACATTATTTCTCTCATGCACAAGCACACACACAAATGGTTCTGGGGGGGTATACGTGTGCGTGTGTGTGTGTGTGTGTGTGTGTGTCGAAGCATTTGTGATGGGCCCTTTGGTGGTTTGTAGAATACACTTGGCCCAGGGAGTGGCACTATTTGCAGGTGTGGCCTTGTTGAAGTAGGTGTGGCCTAGTTGGGAGTAGGTACGTCACTGTGGCATACACTTTAAGATCCTGATCCTAGCTGCCTGGAAGTCAGTCTTCTAGTGGCCTTCAGATGAGGATATAGCACTCTCAGCTCCTCCTGTACCATGCCTGCCTGGACACTGCCATGCTCCTGCCTTGATGATAATGGACCGAACCTCTGAACCTGGAAGCCAGCCCCAATTAAATGTTGTCCTTATAAGAGTTGACTTTGTCATAGTGTCTGTTCACAACAGTAAAATCCTAACTGAGCCAGGTCCAAACAAGAATAATTCAAATATATATCAACAATAAAATAAGTAAACTAATTATACTATATTTACACAATGATATTATTGACAAAGGATAAACTGAATACATGCAAAAAACTGAATACATGGATGATTGTTAAAGATAATATTGAGCAAAAGATATCAGATACAAAAAATTAACATCTACTTTTGGATTTTAGTGTGTTTCTTTTGGTGAATACATGTACGTATTCTCTTAAGTATATATTTAGGATTTGCTGGTACATAGCTTGTAGCTTTGTAAAGAGCTACTTAGCTAGTATGAAGTGCATTTTTCAAATTCTCTTTCACATATGTTTTGAATAAGGATGGACCACAACAGACATTTCTGCTTGAGATTTAAAGATTGGAAGAAAAAATAGCAGCAATACAGAATTTGACATTTACAAGCTCCAAGGAAGAGATCTGTCACCCACACACTTGGTTGATCTGCTAACTTACCTCACTGACATAAGAGTAGCAGACACGCCTACAGGGACTCTGTGTTTTCCTGATTCTCCTTCAAATCTCTGATTCTTGGGTCAGCTGACCAAGGGGGCCTGCTGCTTCTGCAATTCACTCACATTAAGATGGAAAACAAGAGCTGGCATTCCGTTCTCTTTGTTTGGAGCTTTTGGATTCCACTGTGCTCCACGTATTGTGTATCTTCCCTTCCCAACTCCTAATCTTTGGACATGAAACCCCAGCATTAGATATTAAAAACATTAACTTTACTGGGGCCTGGTGCCATTTGGCCTATAATCCCCACTACGTGAGGGGCTGAGGCACAAGGTTCAAAGGCTGTAGGTCTCCCAGGGCTGCAGAGTGAGTTTAAGGCCAGTCTGGAAAAATTGGTGGGAAATTATTTGAAAAGTTTTTTTAAAAATGATTAACTCTGGGAATATAGCTCAGGGAGAGAATGTTTGCATAGTATGGATAAGGCCTTGTACTCACTCCCTAGTACATAAAAGAGGCAGAGAAGTCTTACAGAGACTGTTTAACCATCTCCAAAAATTACCTGTATTTAAATCCCTGTAAGAAATTTCCTATGGGGCTGGAGAGATGGCTCAGTGGTTAAGAGCACTGACTGCACTTCCAGAGGTCCTGAGTTCAAATCCCAGCAACCACATGGTGGCTCACAACCATCTGTAATGAGATCTGATGCCCTCTTCTGGTGTGTCTGAAGACAGCTACAGTGTATTCATATATAATAAATAAATAAATCTTTAAAAAAAAAAGAAATTTCCTATGATGGTTGGTGAGATGGCTCAGTGGTTAATGACATGTGCGACTCTTACAGAGGACCCAAGTTTGGTTCCTAGGATCCACTTCAGGCAGCTCACAATAGCCTGTAACTCCAACTCCAGAGGGAGAGGGATATGGCTTGCACAGTACCTGTATTCTTTACCTACACACACACACACACACACACACACACACACACACACACACACCACACATGTTGTGGTACACACAGTCCCAGCACTTGAAAGACAAGAAGCAGGCAGATCTCTGTGAGTTCAAGTCCAGCTTGGTCTACATAGTGAGTTGCAGACTAACGAGGGCTAAATTCTGAAACCTGAAGCAGACACATGAGAGGATGTTTTTGCTGAAGCAGACACATGAGAGGGCATGTGACATTTTGCTGGAGCAGACACTTGAGAGGGCACATGATGTTTGGAAAGAGTATAAATGGAACCCTACAAACAGTGAAAGGACACTCTTGATTTCCACTCCATGCAATACTTCACTAGTTTTTGCTGGCCACACAATGCTTCACTGGTCTTGCTTCTTTGTTGGTCTTCACAGGTCTTCACTTCACAGAGAGAAACATGCCAAAGATCTTCTCGTGGTATTCCGGCTGATTCTTGCCGCTTCTGCTGACTTGTGCCCATTTGACAGA